GTGTGTGTGTGTGTGTGTGTGTCTGAACGTTTTGCAATTGTCACCATCCACTCACAAGCGACTACCGTACCCACCCCAGCCCCGCCCCGCCCCCTGGGAATCGGGATTTTGAGGTATTCAAGGGCACCATTCTTGGTAAACAATCTGAGACACACTCTCCCGATTCTGCCCCATTGAGGAGAAAAAAAAGCTCTCCAGAAGCTTTGCGAAGAGGTCAGCAGTGCGTGACCCCCTCCCTCACCACACACACACCCGCCATCAAACCATCAATGAAATATATGGGGTGTCGAGAGTCTGGACCCACGGGAAATCTCAATAACTTGCAAATGTGCTCAAACTGATGGCAATGTCAAATTACTGCATCGGGTTGTAACGCCGTCTTAGCTGTCTTAACTGTTTTATAGTCCTATCTTAGCTGTGTCCGAAGAGTGATATCTTAGACCACGAACCTAAGCTTATCGCTGTCCGAGGCGAGAGACCGAAGGCATGGATCGTTCATCTCTTATAGTCCTAAGTGTAGGATGGTTTCCGGTTTCATCCAATCTCTGTCGGTGATAAAATGTGTACAACCCGTATCCGATTTCTCTCTTTTCCTTCTTTCTTCTTTGCTCTGTGTCAGTCGAAGCCGTTTGTTTTTAAAAACTCTCATATGGGTAGATCTACGTGTGTTGTAATTCTTATGTGCACAAGTATGTGTGTATGTGTGTGTGTGTGTGTGTGTTTGTGTGTGTGTGTGTGTGTGTGTGTGTGTGTGTGTGTGTTTATGTCTGTAATGTACGTATGTGTGTAAATGGGGACAGGGGAGGGGGGGGGGGTCACGACTAGTCATGAGCATATGTGTGCGTATGTGTATATGTATCCGTGTGCGTGCGCGCGCGCAGTGTGTATGTGTATGTGTGTGTGTGTGTTTGTGTGTATATATGCGTTTGCGTACGTGTGTTTGTGTGTGTGTGTGTGTGTGTGTGCACACGTGCACGTGTGTGGGTGTTTATTTGCTTGTTTCCGGGTATAGATATAACATTATAGATCTGGCTTGTTTTTGTTCTCTTCAAAAGAGATAGAGGCAATGTAGGGTCTTTAAAATCCCTGTTGCGATTCTCTTAGTGCGTCGTTCAGCTCCAGGCCTCTCCGTTGTTGCGATTGAACGGACTATTATCTCTTTGCTGTTCTTGAAAGTGCTTTTTACATTTTTGTTGGTCTAGAAAGTATTAAATACTGGAAAGTACAATCTTTTGTTGTTTTAAAAAGTGTTTTTCACTTTTCTTTTCTGTCCTCTTACACGTTTTATCGGTGATGAACATGAATACGTATGTCTCAACTTCCATCTCTCTCTCTCTCTCTCTCTCTCTCTCTCTCTCTCTCTCTCTCTTTCGCTGTTCCTCTCTCCCTTTCTCTGTTTCTCTCACTTGCTCCACAACAGATTCCCTCCCACAAGCCACGACCGACTGTCTTGCCCTCCCGTGTTGAATTTTCCCCATGTTTCGTCATGCATCTTTACCGGTTACTTTAAATCATAAACAGATGTCTTCTCACAACCCTGCCCCATCCCCTCTCATCACTCCTTAACCCCTTTCACCCCCACCCCCCTCCCTCCTCAATATTTTTCCA